AGACGTAATCCTTTATCTAAGACGTAATCCTTTATCTAAGACGTAATCCTTTATCTAAGACGTAATCCTTTATCTAAGACGTAATCCTTTATCTAGGCTTACGGGGAAGATATCCTTTATTCGAGTATAAAGGTACTCGAAGGATGTACTCGAAGGATATTATTAGTAATATCAATAGTTATAATTATACATAATTACCTCAATCAATTTTTGACCTATTTTATAACGATTTTGACTACGCTTTATTTAACAATTAAGAGTCTCACTTACTAAGTAAAGATATACCTATTTTACTTACCTTTACACTACCGATTGAAAAGCCACTTAGCCGCGTCGATATAGCGTATCAATCTACAAACAACTATTAAGATATCGTATCTTAGCCCTATAACGTATAAAACCTATAACGATTAGGAGCTCTAGTAATATCTATACGAATCGGTTATATAAACGACTGGTCACAGATTATAGCACCAAGTAAGATTGTAATAATAGATTATCTAGCACTAAGGAAGGAAGAAGGAAAAAGTAGAAAAGTCTATAGCGGTAGGCTAGCCATACGGTAGCGATAACTAGGCGATATAGGTCCGTTAACTAAGCGCGTAGTCCAGAAGATCCGGGGTGTAGCCGGATTCTTATATCGGGGTTAACTCGTAATACTATCCCCCCCCTCTCCTTTCGGGGATTATATAACCACGCGTCTCTATTATAGCTCGGCTTCCTCTTATATTATAGTGTTAAAGAGATAGGCGCGTTCCTTTATCTTACCTCGCCTTTACCTCGATATTAAAGATATCTTAAGTCGCCGGCTAACCTTTATTCACGTGCCCGAAATAGTAATATAGGCGTCCGTCGCGTAATTCCTATCCGTAAATAAATCGGCCCCGTTTTCCATATAGGCTTCCTCTTCCTCTATTCCTCTCTCTAACTTTAATAATACTAATAATAGTAATAGCAGGTCTATACGTGCTCGCTTTTCCTTATAATAACGATTCTCCTAACCTCTTTATAGTATTAGATAATATCTATCTATACTCGGCTAGTTTAAGAGCTCTCTGTCTAAGGTACGCCGTCTTTCTCACGATCCTCTTATAAGGCACCCCCTATTAATATATATTATTCTGTAGACGGCGCTAGCCCCCGGTAATAATAGGGGAAATAATAATAGTAAGCGTACCACCGATAACGATATAGGTATAATACTCCTATACCTCGAGGCGATACTAACTGTATGGTAGTTCGGCTTATCGCCGCCGCCTAAAAGAAAGAAATCGGCGGGTAGTCGGCCTCCTAAGCACCCTCTCGGTAGTGTTTATACTAAGCTATACCTCCTTTATACGCACGATATCGCTAATAGGAAGTATAAGCGCCTTTATCATAACTAGAGTAATCGGGGGAAGAAATACTATATATGCTCTATAAAGATATACCGGTATACTCCTCTCCTTATATACCTTAAAGGCTATGCGTAGAGGTTATTTAAAACGGCTACCCTTATTAGCGATAATAATAAGAACGCCCCTATAAGAACTCCTCCTCCTCTAAGGTTATAACCGTATCGCTAACCTTCTTTTTAGGAGTAAGAACCGTATCTTAACGCTTACACGGTATTCTAGACTACCCGTATAGCTAAAGAAGCGATAACGGCGATATCACTTATAGCTATATATCCTATAAAGGCTCCTAATACGGTAATGGCGCTAGCCCCTCCTCCTCCTTAGGAGGTCTAAGAAAAGGTAATACCATAATTAGCCTCGCTACCTCTTCCTAAGGTCGTTAATAAGGTAACTAAACTAGCCTTACTTTCTCTAGTAATAAAGGTCGCTAACGGGGTAGTTATACTAGTTTTATCTCCTCCCTTAAAGGTCGTAGAAAAGATAGCGTTAGGACTAGACTTATCGTTTCCGGAGGAGGTCGTTATTAGGGCGGAATAGCTAGCCTTATCTCCTTCTTATAAGGTTATAGGTAAGGTAGTGGTTTTAAGCCCGGTCTCTCCTAATATTATAGTGGAAAAAAACGCCTATCCTATTACTCCCGCTCTTTTATCGGAGTTAATATTATTAGATAATATAACGGCTTGTTAAAAGTTGTTCACGTATTAAGGCCGAAAATATAGATTATTCGAACTAAGGGAGGAAAAGAGGGAAGGAAAAGTCTGAGCGGTGTGTAGGCGGTTAAGTATGTGTGGGATCGCACGGGCCTTGCTAGGAGGTCCGTGCTTCTTGGTCCCGGCCGCTGCCGGGGACTATTCCGCGGGCTATAGCCCGTAATATACTCCCCCCCCCCGCCGGAGGCGGCGATATCGTGGTCGTGTTATCGTGACCTTGTATTGCCCTGGCTCCCTAGCGTGTGATCTGAAAATAGTCTCGTTTATTCCATTCTATTAAAGGCTCCTTCGAAGGGAGGTAATCCGTAGTAGCCAAGATCTTTTTAAGGCTAAAATAGCATAAAGGGGGTTTTATATAGCTATGCTATCGCGGGCTCCTCGCCGACGTGCGTGCTCGTTATAAATAACGTGCCTACCGAATATATAACCGGGGGTTATTTCTTCTACCTAAATAGCGTAGGAAGGGGAGTAAAATAAACCTCCTACTATTCCTCGTTTTTTACTGTTTTCTTCCCTTTCTATAGCTTCCTTTTAACTAAATTCTTTTTTAATTAGATTTTCTATACTGGGAGTAGCCCCGAGATACTTCGCAGGTCCTATAGCAGTATAACTAATATCGCCGAGTAATAGCTTATTACTTAGGCCGCCCGTATTCTCCTTATAGTGAGTTAGCACGCCCCTCGCTCTTAGTTCCGTGCCGTAACTAACTATTAATAGATATCCGACTACGCTTCGCCTAATAAGCGCCCCTATAAGGGTAGTAGCGACACCGATATAAGTTTAGCGTTTATTACTATTACTTATAAGGTCGGCCGTTACTAACACTAAGTAGACTCTAACCCCCCCCCCCTAAAGAAGCGCCGCGTGCCTAAGAACCCCCCCGGACCCCGCCGCCTCGCCCCTTATGCCTAGTGCGCTACCCGGTAGTGTAAATAAGAGTATACCGTCGAGTGTTATTATTAGTCGGGCCCCGGCGCTACTCGCGCGGATACTAAATATTACGAGTGCTTGTGCCGCACTTATAAATATTCTAAGGTAAGTATACCGGTTCCGTGGGGGGTAACTATGACTAACGAGTGATATAGCTCCCGTCCGCCGCCTATAACGCCGCTAATACCCTATAGAATACCGCTTATACTATAAATAAGGATACTAATAATAAGGATATAAGTTTACACCTACTCTTCGCTTAGGGGCCTTATACTAACTCTCCTATATAGAATCGCCGCTAGTTCTAACATACCTACAGTAGTTTTTAGGTCGCCCTTAGCCTAGCTAAATCGGGTAAGAACGTTGTTAGTCCGTCGTAGTCCCCCGCTCCTATTATCGCCGCCCCCCCCGTCGCCGCTCCTACTTCTGTCGCTACTCCCGCTCCCGCCGCCGCGCCGCCTACCGCTATCGCCCCGCCGCCCGCCGCCCTATCCGCCACTACCGAGTTCTAGGTAAGTATAGTGCGAGCCCTTAACGATATCGCTACTTCTATACGTAGTATAGATAAGACGCTTAAGGACGTATCGTAAAAACTAGAGGATAAGAATAACGATATCACTATAATATCGTAAGAGGTTCGTAGCCTCTCTTACTCCGTCCGCTAAGTGTATAAGTATTACGTGGCCGTGACTCCCTTCGCCGCTAGTAATAATCCGGGGGCTACTCCTAAGGTTATACTCGCCTCGGCTCCTCTTTAGGAGGAGTTATAGGTGGGTGCCGCCGAGGACGGCGTGGCCTTATAAGAGGAGGAGTTAGAGGAGGGTAAGATTGTAGAGGAGTAGGCCGTTTATATCGTTTAGGTTATTTTAGTAGTTTTTAAGATTTTACTTAGTTCTTTACTTATAAGTTAAGTAGTACGGGGGTATACCCCTAATACGACTTCGCTCTCGGTTCTTATCCTCCTCGCCGCCGTATCGGCCTTCTTTCGCGCCCGTGTCTCCTTCGTATACTATTATAAGGGCCTATTATTTAATTATACTAGGCCGTGCTTTTTCTTAAATTCGTTAAGCGCTTATATTTCCCGTATACTCTTAAGCGGTTCTTATATTAGTTCTATATAGCCTTTCTATCGCACTAATACCTCGCGAACCTTACTATAACCTCGCCTTCGGGTACGGGCGTAGAGGACTTCCTCTACTATCTACTCTTCCTCCCTATCTAGCCTTTCACGGATTAATAGTGGTTAGGGGTCTATTATCGCTTACCCCGGTAAGGGGTTATAGTCGGCTCGCCGTAGGAAATCCACGTAGAAACGGTTATAAATCTACGAGGGGATATCTAGTTCTACGATATAGGGGTTAATAACCTTTGTAACTTTATACTTATGGAAAAGCCAGGTAAGTTTCTTCGAGGGCCGTGGCGAGGAGTAGTTATTAATATCTAATTATACGAGGTCCCCTTTTTCGAACCTCTTAGCAGGGTAGCGCTAATAGTTTATTAACTCCTCTTAGCGTACTTATATAGCGGCTATCGCGGCTTAGGCGAATTAGGTGGCTTCTTTAAGACGACTTAATAAGTCCTGCGTGGAAGCCTTACGCTTATTAGTCGGCGTGGTCTTTTTAACTTAAAGGGGGTTTATATAGTACCCGTATTATAGGAAGAATAGGCTTATTTAGATTATCGAGTTTACCCGGTTATTTAAGGCTAGCTACACTACCGGTAATAGCGTGTTCTAATCGTCTTAGGCGTAATAGGTATACGCTCGTAAGTAGGCTTAGATTTTCTAGTTAATACGTTCAGGGCCTCTATCCGTTTAAGGGTGGTATACGGTTCTTAGTCGCTAATTATTTCCCGCGAGTTTATAGAAGTATCGCTAAAAGCGGCTAGTTTAGTTTAACCCTTTATCGTTAACGATATACTTCGGTATTCTATAGAACCTATAGTGGTAGAGTAAGAACCGTTAAGCATAGGCTTCGGTATCTATAGTATCTATCGCTTTTAGCGTTACCGATTTCGAGAGTCGGTCGGTGATTACTTATAGGTATCTATACTTCCCCTCGCGGGTGGGTAGTAGGTCCGTTATAAAGTCTATCGCGATATCGTAGAAGATTCGCTTTAGTATAGGGAGTAGGCGTAGTAATCCCCTTTTCGTACTCTTTTATATATAGCTGGCTTAGTATATATCGTGATTCCGTATAAATCTTCTAATATCTCGATTTATACTAGGCTATAAAAACTAGCGGGCGATTAGGGTAATAGTATTATCCCTGCCTAGGTGTCCGCCGATTACTAAGTCGTGGATCGCTTATATAAGACGGCCTTATAGCGGGTGGCTAACCCCGTTTTCGCTATTCCCTAGTACCTATAAGCGGTCGCGAAATATTAGCCGTCCTTAGTCGATTCTATACTCGGCGATCTATATTTTAAGCTCTAGCTTAGGGGGAAAACTCTATTCTCCCGCTACTACTACGGTAAGGGCACCTTAATAACGCTTATCGGCGGCCCTGGCTTTATCCTATAATCGCTATAGGTCGGGGTCTGCTTCGAAGACTATAGTTAGCTCCGGTAATATTACCCTTACTAGGTATACTCGGGGGGAGATAGCTATATCGGGGATTATCTAGATATACCTCCCCTGCTCTCGGATATTGGAAGAATCCTTAGGTATATCCTACTCCCGATATAAGAGCGCGTTAGCTACGACGTTATCGGCCCCCCGCTTATACTCTAACGCGAAGTTATACTAGGTAAGCTTAGCTGCCTAACGACTCTAACGCTCGGTTAGGGCTCTTTTAGTTATAAAGTATTCGAGCGCTTTATAATCGGAGTAAATCTAGAACCGGCCGCTGCCTATAAGCTCGGCTTTTGAAACCTATAGGTAATCTATAATCGCTAGTATCTCTTTATCGTAAATTGGGTAGTTATACTCGGCGGAGTTAAGACGATATAAGTGGTATACGACGACGCACCTACGTCCTTATTCGTCTTCTTATAGGAATACGCTACCTAACACGAACCCCGAGTAATCCGTTTCTAGCTAAGTCTTCCTTCCGGGTTACTATTATTATAGGTAAGGCTCTTCCTAAAACTTCTGCTTTAGTTCCTTAAAGGCTGCTTCTTATAGGGGGCCCTAGTAGAACAGGGCGTTCTTCTTCGTTAGGGTTATAAGTAGCGCTATAATAGCTATAAAATCGCGGATAAATATCCTATAGAAGTTAGCGAACCTAAGGAAACTTCGCACTTTAGTCGCAGAGACTAGCGCTTCCTATTCTATAATAGCTTTAAGTTTCTCGGGGTTATAAGATACCCCTTTTTCTGCTATAATAATAAACCCTAGGTATTTAACCGTCTTAACGCTAAACACGTATTTCTTCGGGTTAAGGTTTAGCCTAGAGTCTATAAGGGCACTAAGCACTCGCCGTACCTTCTCTTCGTGGTCCTTATAAGATCCGTCTAAGTAGATTAGGACGTCGTCTATATACGCGGAGATAAAATCGTCGAGGAACTCTTATAGCGACGAGTTAATATATCGCTAGAATATCGTAGGCGCGCCGGTTAGCCCGAAAGGGTATACTAGCTACTCGAATAGTCTATACCGAGTACGGAATACGGTCTTATACTTATGCCCCGGTGTTATCCGTATCTTATGGAAGGCGGCGATAACGTTTAATTTAGTAAACCACTTCGCCTTAGCTAGGTTATATAGGGTCTTTATAATTAGGGGGAGTAGGTAGCGATCTCGCTAAGTAATCGTATTTAGGGCGCGGTAGTTATAGTAAAATCGGAGGCCGCCTCCTAGCTTTCTTACGAATAACACGGGTACGGCGGCCGCTAAGCTACTCGCGCGAATAAATCCTTTATCTATTAAATCCGTTATCGTCTTCCGTAATATAAGGAGCTCTTCACGCGATATATTATAGAGTAGGCCCCACGGTAAGGCTTATTCGTTACCACTACTATCCTTCTATAAGTGGACCTCGTGGTTAACGCTAGGTCGGTATAGGGGTAGGCGTATAAAGTACGAGGGCGTAAATAAGTCGCCGAACTCGCGTATAATACTCTCGGGGATATATTCCCGCGGGTTTACTAGCTCCTTTATACTTGGGGCCTTTTCGATATCTTTTAACGATATAGCCCGTAAGCCCTCTTCCTATCTTTTTCCCCTCCGGTGCCGTAGTTATCTATATAATTCTGCGAACACGGACCCTATTATTAGTGCTATAGTACGGATCTCTTATACTGCCTTCGGCTCCTCTTCGCCCTAGAGTCGGACGTCGATATCGGCTACTCCGTAGTGGAGCCTTTATTCCTTAGCGTAGAGGGCTATATCGTTACGTTCTATCTATAGAAGCCTAAGGAAAAGATCCTAGTCTAGACGCGGCACTACGTACGTAAAAATACGCTCGGTATACCCTTATATATCTAGCGTAAAGACTACGATACCGGCGCTACTAGCCGGTTTAGTCTTATCCGAGAAGCCTTTTAGTAGTCGTTTCTTCTTATCGACTAATAGTACGCGTATTTTTCGAGTAAACTTCTTATTTATAGTAGTATAGCAGTTATAACCGGTATCTATAAGAGTATTTATTAACCTACTACTATTAACTCTTACTTAGATTAATACTGACTCGCTCCGTAATAGCGGTTTAAACTCCTCCCACTCGCGTTACTCTTACGCCGTCGGCTGCGGTGCCCGATTTCGCACTAGAGCTATTCTTTTTCCGAATCTTCGGTATCTTCGGGAATATCTTCGGGTTCCTCTTCTTAAGGGGACGTTTATACTACCGTTTCTTTCTTACTCTTATAGTGTTATTAGATATAGCCCTTCTTCTAGTAACTCTAATATATAATATTCGCGTAGCGGTTAGGTTTCTATTAGGTCTCTTTAGACTCGCTAACCTTATTAACGCCACTTATAGCGATATCGCCGTCGGCGTCCTTAGCTGGTTTACGGGCGACGGGAATCGGTCCGTACGATTTACTAATACCCTTTTATCTTTACGCGATTATTTATACTTTATCTACCTACTCGGAGTAGGTATCGGGGAGGTCGGCTACGACTAGACTATTACGTAGCCTGTCATTTAAGGCGCTATCGAGGAACGATATCTTAATATAGTCTACCTAGTTATAGTCTCCTGCTTACGCTAGGTTCCTCTTAAAAGTCGGGAGGAAGCGTGCGAACGGTTAGTCGGGTTTTTGCTTTATCGCTCTAAGGGCGTTAGTAGCGCGACCTTATTCGTTACGGTCCTTATACGTGCGATCGAGGTAGGCTATAAATTCCTCTAGGTTAAATTCACCGTTTATGCCTCCGTTACTAAAAATGGTGCTAACTACCTACTAAGGCTAGGTGTCTAAGCATACGTTAATTAAATACTACGCCTCTTTATTACTACGGAATAGCAGGCTATCGAGTTTAAGTTTTAGTCGTATAGCCTAGGACTAGGCGGTGTATTCCGTGCGCTTCCCACTAAATTTTACGGGAATAACGACCTGCTATACCCGGTATAAG